CGACCTATAGTCTAGGTTTATTACTTTTTCATCCATGGATAAGGCAGTCATATCTCCTGAGATCTATAAATGAAGGGGCGGGTAATTAATTTCGATTTGAAAAAATATTTTTTATAGTGTATACAACCTAAAAAATTGTTCATAAACTACTTGACCTACTATAACATTAGATCATGTCAGCTATTGTAACTAAAATCGTTGAAAAATACACCCTCGTCCCAAAGATGAGGGACTCTGAACTTAGCCAATATACCTCAAAATTTCTTGAGAACCTTACCGATGATAGAAAGCGGAATCAAGCTTGACGACGTCTTCGGGATGGCTTTAAATTTAGCAGTAATCAGGTGAGCATATTGATACCCAACCAGAGAAGTGGGAAAATTAAAACTATAAATATTATCGAAGGTAATTGTAGACCTGAAGGGTCTTTGCTTTGCAATAGAATAGTTATAGCATCGCCCCCAAAAAATCCGGAAGAAGAAATTATCAGAGAGATAGCAAAACGAATCTTGCAAAATAGATATGGGTTTAGTGAGGATCAAGTAAATGCCTTATTCTCGATCCAGAAAAATGGAAGTAGCCACAGTGTAACTACCTCAGATAAAAACGTAAATATGTGCCTTGGCACTAGCCCCGCTATTGCGATTTCCAACAAACTCTTGAAAGGGATGGAGGAAGAAACTATTGGAGATATAGCACAACGGATTTTACGGGATAAACTTAGCGTTAGAGATATAAGAGCTGAAGCTTACGCCTTAGCCCTATCAGCAAAAAATGCCAATGCTGGTTCATCACGTCTTTCCTGTCTCAGAAGAGAATTAAGAAACCTTGGTGCTTTACCCGCAATAGTCGAGGCCACGAAATTTCCAGATATTACAGAAGATGCTAACAAAATCCAGAGGGATAATCAGAAAAAGGCTGAAGCTAATCGTATTGACTATCCGGATCATTTTACATTGGAGTCGGTTAAGGAAAGATTAGATGAGTATGATATTAAAACTTTACCCGATTGTCAAGCTCTCGCTGATGTTATAATAATGCTCTGTATTCGTCCCTCTGAGCTTACATCTTTACGTATTACAGATGCTGGCGTGATAGGCTATGCGAAGAATAGGGGACAACTAGATATTCCTCGAAAATTTAGATCTATGGAAAAGAATCAAGAAAGAGCTAAGGAATTGCTTACATGGATTCAGAATGCTATATCTTCTGGTCGAATGGGTAATCCAGGTAAGCCAGGAGTTAAATGGTTCAATAGATTCTTAAAAGACTATGGTTTAATTCCTAAATACTTACGTAAATTGGGAGCAGTTTATGGTGCAGTAGTACATGCTAAAAATCCAGCACATTTTATGACAATAGCTGGAGAATGTCTACGTCACAGCCCAGATAACCACACTTCTCCTGTACAAAATTACGTTGTTGTAAATTACAGAAAAAGAAATACCCCTCCTGAACAAGCAAGACCATTTCGGATCTATGATGAGAATTAATAACAGATTAGTAAAGAAACCTCTGAATGAAATAGTAGAGCACCTGAATGGGGTCACATCTATACCTAAAGATATTCAGAATTTTCGATTTGGATGTGTGTAACAAGGGGATGATTCAGTGATAGAATATTTTGTAAAAATAAATAAATGCAATAAATCATTCGAATATAAAGAAGAGCAACTGAAATATCAATTCTTACGTGAATTAACACCTGACAATCAGTTGGAAGTCAGAAGATGTGGATTGGAACTTTCATTAGACGAGCTAGTAGAGAAACTGAGTAAAATTGAGAATATCAGGAAAATCCATAGTATATGCACCTAAATTAATTATCCAAACATTAGTTGTTTTTTCCATTAAAGATATACATATAATATATATTCTTGAAAATGGCACAACTATTGCGGAGCAGGCCGTTAGACAGTTCTTCGAATCATGACCCAAAGGGTTTAAATATTTTTGATCTACCAGAATTGTTAGAACAGATCTTATATTTTTTAGAAATCGATCGATCCCTTTATCCTGCTTTATTTGTCAACCATCTTTGGTATCACTGCAGTGCTCCTATTCTATGGCATCGCATTGAATTTTTCAACGAAGATTATCAGAAGAGCTGGCGTGCCCTAAACATGTCCCGGGTTCTTACTTGGCGATTGATAAACTTTAAAAGAGTTATGCGTAGAAAAATAAAGCCACTCTATTGTTCAAAGATGGCATATCTCAGATTAGAAGGTTTAAAAATCTCAGATGCGTTAATCAGCGCAATTTTGTATTCATGCCCAAATATACGCTTTCTTATTCTTGATAAAAGTAAGGGTTTCTCTAACATACCAATTATAGAAATTGCAAGATATTGCCCAAAGCTATTACATCTGAGTCTTAATTCATGTATATGCCTCACTAATCGGTGTATCACTGAAATTACTCGCTCGTGCCCAAAACTTAGACATATTGAACTTGGTGATTGTTCGATTGGTAATAAAGCTGTCGAGGAGATAGCCCACAACTGTACTAATTTGAAATATCTTAGTTTGAAGGGATGTAAAGGGATTAGCAAAGAAGTAATGAAAAAACTCGATCCAAAAATTAAAATCGAACATCCTGATTTTTCAGATAATGAATGGTCTAATTCTGATCCACCTATTCTAATCCTTAGAGGTCCATCATTAGATAGAACAGATTTTATTCCTGTATTCAGTAATTATGTCGAAGCATCATCAAATTCAATTAATCTAGAACGAGATAATATATTAAATAGTCTTGCTCGGGTCATTGATCAAGGATTATATTGTTCGTGGCAAGGTCTTTAGAAAGATCGACCGTTTTGATTCTGGAACTTATTATGCTGAGGGTGACACTTCTGATTCCGATACCAATCCTGATACTAATACTGAACCCGAACCTAAATCTCAGCCTAAGAATTATAATCCTTTTGATGCCCAAATCGCAGAAATAGATTCTATGTTAGCAGAAAATGCGAAGTTAGACTATTAGTATCGGTTCCAGTGGAATTCCTAAATAAAACTCTTACGTTGCTCGATGGAACTAGTTATGAGGTTAAGTGCAATTGAGAATATCCGGAGAATGCATAGTATATATGCCTAAAATTTCGTACCATGTTGCATATTTCGTAATACAATAAATAATTAATATGATGCACATTACACTTAGGAAACATGAAATAGAAAATAATGTATTATGCAGAGTGGGTTACAAAGTACCCTAACTTTATTTATAAAGCAAAAAAAAATTAATAAAGTTATGAATATTTCGCTTTTGCGCACTCATTACATTCATTGTAATTTTTTTTTTCATATTGCAAATTAGATTCCGATACCAATTTCGCTAACACAGATCATATAAATTTTTATACATAACAAAGAAAGTATAATAATAAAGCAATAATAGTTTGATCTGTTGATTATAAATTTTATGTTAAGACTTGAAGTATATCATTAAAATCTATGTTCGCTCCACATCCTAATACAAGATGCCTATTCCATTTCATCTTGTACCAACGAACTGTATTGCCCACGGGCCAATGGCCGAGATATGGAGCATGAGAAGGACAAGCCGTTTTGGGTGTTCCCACCATTGAAGCAACATCTGGATTTGGATTTGCTGGAAAGGCAGTTTCAGTAGCCGGAACAACAATTATTACAAATTCTGTGGTCAGGCAGTAGGGTCGAATGCATGCAAATTTATTCATGGCATTATCACGATCCCCAGAATTGTCATAGGTCACCTATAAATATTTGATTAGGCTGATTGTATCAAGAATTAGTTGCATAATTCTGAAGATAAGGGAATAAGATCTTCACCTCGATCCACAGCAACGGTGGTGGACATAGATTAATTATAGGGTTAAGCCTTTGATTACGTGCTGGTTTAGGATTCCAACTGCCCACATCAGGTCGATACTGATTACCGTTAACCACACATATTGTATCAATTTGAGTCCCCCAAGTTGGTGGGAGTTGTTGATCAAGTGAATACACTACTTTCTTATGTATTTCTGCTTTAATCCAACCATTAAACTTGAATAGTAACAAAAGAATTAGAAAATGCATGTAAAATAATTATAAAACAAAAATGGTACCTTACCTTGATGAACAATTTATTGTCAACAATTTCAGCATTAAAAATATCATGGATCGCTTCAAAAATTTTATCACGTTTCTTGCCCTTGGCCTTTATTTCTGGTAATTCAAGTTCTATAATATCCACATCACGCATTTCACGTAGTTCTTCATTAACTTCATTTTCAATTTGACTGATCACCTAGGAGAAATGGACTGTTGGCTTAATTCAAAATATATGTTTCAAAAAAAAATGGAATGCATTATTATACCTTGGATTCTGCATTATCTTGAATCAAGTCAACAAGCTTTTTAAAGGCACTTTGTACTCTTTGTACTGTGTTATAAGAATGTGCAAAGTTCCTTTTATAAGACTTTTGGATAAATATTTATTTCATGTTTTTTTAATTAACAATAAAATAGTACCTTTACTAGTTAAACAACCACTAACCCCACCGATCCCAAAACTACTCTCTACTCCTAAAAATGTGGTTGCCATTGCACTACAAAAATTAAATTGTAAGCAGAATTTTATTGTACTAGTAATAAATTTGACTAGTAAGTAGAGTTTATTATTACATCATCGGTTTTATTTTTGTACACATCTGATATCGGGTGTGATGTGCTATTTAAACATGATTTTTACCTAAAGTCTTAAAAGTCTCCTCAGTAACTTGTTTCTTTCTTGCTTCATTAGCTTCCCGAAGATTAGGCAATTGATTAAACCTAGCTACAGTATCAGGACTTGGTTGGGTATAAATCATAATTAATTTGAAAGTCTGTATTATCAATTTGATGATGTTTATGGTAAAAATTTGCTAAAAAAAGCTTGTGATAAAGAGTATAAAAATAAATGTTGATAGATAATATGTGGTGTTACACTATCAAGTATAGTGTACTTATAGCTGTTTTTGATTGGTTAGAGATTATACTATTTAGCGTAATGTGTCGTCTCCACAGATGAAGCCGGAATGATATATACATCAATACACAGATGATCCAAAAAAGCATCCAAAATAATTGATAAGCATTTGCGGGTTGGTAAAATCAAAAACCACGAATTCTCATGGCAGTAGACGATCCTTTAAGTGTATGACTTGGTTGGGACACCCCATTGAAATTAGATGAATGAACCAAGATTTAACAATCAAATAATTAATTATTTTTTTCGTTATTTATTAATGCAGAAATATAATACATCCTACTCGCCACTTCTTATAATATTGAGAAGATGTACGTATCCAGCCTTGTATTGAAATTGGGGTGGATGTGAAAAATAACAAACACGATTTATTATTGCGAAGCAATGACCCCTTGGATCTATCTACACTAGGGATTTTTTGTGCCCCATAAAATATATACAGATAAAATAAAAGTCAAGAAAAAAATAGCTATTAATCATCACGAAATAGCAATAAATAAAAGTCTAAAGTACTAGCCCTTAAGGAATACTTTAGGTGGTTTTATTTTAAAGATATATATATGAATAAGTTATATAATAAATAGATATATTGATCGAATAAATAGATATGTATATTGCTTATTTCGGAGAAATGACACTTCGTGCCTGCAGACACGGTCTATATATTATTATTAACTTGTCGCATTTCTTCTCGAACTGCCCATAATAATTGGTAATGTAATGTTAATTCTGAAGCGCAGAGACCATCAGGTCTGTAGAAATACTCTAACCATTTTTGTTGTATTACATTTACAGCTCTGATTTTTCTACCGATTTCTCTTGCATGTTTAACTCTTCTAATAGCATTCTGCATCCACAATTCATATCGACGAATTGCTTCTTTTTCGAAGTAGGAGTTACTAGTTTCAGATCTACTTTTAAGTTCTATATAGTCTTTATAACTAATATCACAATAAGCATTTCCTGTGCAATTTGTGCTCCAATGTTTATCCATGAAATGACGAAACCCACACTCATAACCACTTCCTATTCTAGAATAAACTAGCTTGTTACACGAATAACATATTGCTATGCTTATGCCTACAGAATGACCAAGATCATCTTACCATAAATATTCCATCTTTCTGGCGATAAGATATCGCTTTTTATCATAAGTCAAACGATTATTATTCTTATAATTCGTCAACTGATCCCAAATTCGTTTCATCCAATCAGATGGAGTTTCACCCTTACGAATCACTGGAAGTTGACAATTATCTTTCCATTCAGTGTCGCTCAAAATTGGGCAGATATCCGTATAGACCATATTTAACGATTAAATAAATTATAGTGTTTTTAGAGATTATGTGATTTATATCGAATTTAAGGGTTTTGACCTATTAGATTTGGTTCTTTATAGTATAAGAATATATGATTCAATTTTTGTGCGGATTGAGTTATTAGATGAGTTATGTATAATCGTCATATTTTGCGAGTGAAATATGATGAGAATGGGAATTGCCGATCACGAGCTAAATTTCTATTCCCAATTCATTGGCTGATAGTTAGTTCATTAACCGTAATATCTTGCCCAACATGAATGTTGTTTTGCGTTCGAATTTATAATGAAGCTATGATTTAATTACTTAGAACGAAATCTAAAGAACCAATGCCGTGATCACATAGAATAAACCAGTTATAATCGTGTTAAGAAAAGAAAATAAGTTAATTCATCTTTGTTTACTAATGAGCTCTGCCCAGAGTCGAAAGGCTCATAAATAAGAGGTATCTATTGTTGTTGTATAAAAACGATCAAGCTTATTTTTTTGACATCGAATGAGGGCCTGTGCGTCGTATGAGATGTGCCAAAGTTTTCGATTTCACCTATCAAAATAAATCCATAATAATTATGATCGACGCAGGTAATGGATCGCCCATAGTAGATAAATTTTTAATGAGCTGACCGTGTAATTCGAAAAAACCAATGATTATTGATAACTTTAATGGTGTGTACCTATAGCAAATCGACAATCAACGCCAGAGAGATTCTGAAATACGTATAAAAACAGCTTGAACTTGAATTCGCATAATTTTTCTACTTCATAACTATAACATTCGAATAAAAAATTTGTTAAATCAATCAAACCACGTAAATAAAACGTAGTAAATCAATTAAAAAAACCGTGTTAGCAGAGCTAGTTTCACTAAAAAATAAAATATTATTCTTACATTTATCGAATCAAAGGTTTGTTAAGACTCTTGTATCAGATTAGAGATGTAGTATTCTTGTAACGTCATTGAACTAACTGATTTTTCCATAGATGACACCAATCGAATTTTCAAAGCTCTCTCAAAAATGCCATTAGAGAGTTATTTTATTTTAATCCTATATTTATCCTCATCGTAACATTGATATTTGGAGAAAAACTATTTATATACCTATTCATTGTCATCATATGCTTCGTTTTCTATATATTCAAACAACAAATCGATATGGAATTCAAATTATTAAAAGAGAAACGAAAAAACGAATCTAATGAAATCTATAATAAAATAGATGATCTTACCGAAAAAATTTCTTTGTTTTATGAAGAGTTCCAGCAAAGATTCCAGGAAGAAGATACTTTAACTAATAATAATTCAAGTAACCGTTTAAGTAATAATTCAAACAATTTTTCAAGTAGTTCTCGAGGTAGGATCTTTAGTTATACTAAAGGCCTTGCTATTTAATGTATAAATAAATATCTGTTACTTTGAGAGACTTATAGTGTATTAATATTTTTGTACCGTATTAGGTTCAAGACGTACTTCGTTTTCAGATCCACTCTTTCAGGAATTTAAAACACTTTTCGACGAGACCATGCGAGAAAATGATTATTCTAAAGCCGATATGATTGCCGAAGTTGTAAGTGATCTTAGAAAGGAGAAGAAAATAAAGGTTATATTGAACAAAGCGGTGGAAAGTTATTATAATCAAACAACGAAAGCCGACGCCAGGACTATAGGAGCAATCAAAGCTTGGATCGAGCTCAAGACTAAAGGAAAAAATAAATCCAAAATAAATCAGCATCTAGTAATAATAAAATCGATGAAGTTAGTGATGAGGAAGAAATAGACTATAATAATAGTAATAATAAATAGTTTTTTATCTGGTAGAGCCAAAGTATAGGGACGTATATTCATGGTTTAGGGGCCGTACGTTCTCTCCCTTGCAACTCTACCGTAGGAAATCAATATTATTTATTATTATCCATATATCTTTATTTTATTTCGCCTGATTAAATCATTAAATAAAATGAATCAACGAATTCTTTATTTTTTAAAACATAATATATTTGTGTATGACCATAAAAGAATTTTGGAATATTGTGTATATGTAGTGTAACTATATAAATTATGCATGTTTATTTGTGCGATTAACCAAATTCAATTAATTACCTCATGTACATTTATTCTGTAAGATAATTCTTGGCGTAAATACATGCATCGCTTTATCTCTCTGCATTATACATTCGATAAATCTAGAGGAAGACATGGAAGAAAAACGTTTAAAAAGGACAGTATATAGAGTTATGAATATTTATTGCTTTTATAGTGATTTACTGAATTCTTGCATTTATTATAAATATTTTTTTTATCAACGAAAACATGACTAACAATTTATCTAAAAAAATTTTTAACTTTCTTACAACATCCCCATTAGAACATATTACCGCTTTTTCTGTCATCTATCAAGTCATGGAAGAAGACCCATGGATTCAACGAGAAATCTTAAGAAATATCGTAAATAATGCTGTCACTTTAGCAGTAAATAACTATTCTCAAGATATTTCTGCACAAAATAAACTTTACACAATTTCAGTGCAGGTTAGTTTTAAGTTTTAAAGATAAGTCTTTCGTGGCATATGATGATTGGCGCATTCCCGATGTAGCGAGAATATCGTTGGATTTTTAGACTCGTGTAGGCTTTAGCCAATGGGGAAACCTATCAAACCAGCTAGTACTGGATTCAACTCCACGAACAAAGCATGGTGGCAACTCTGGGTACCTGATGCCTGCTAGTACTGGAATTCAACTCCACGGACGTATGGGGGTACTCTGACTCTAGTCTTACGAGCTCTGAAAGTCCATATGTGGAAAATGGGGTTGTTTATGATGTGTAGGCCACACAGAAATGGCAACTCTGTGATAACGTTCTGATGACACGAGCTCGTGCTATTAAAAGCTTCATATTGTAACATCAAAGACTAATGTATAATATTTTTTTCTGCGCCAGTTCGATGATGCTTTTGGAGGAGTTTGTAGCCTTCGTGATATGGAGATGGCGGTGGAACCTCTCAGTGAGAAAGAAATCAAGAAAAATATGGGTGATTTGAGGAGGAAACTCGCGGTAATTATTTGTCGAACTTTCCCCTTGATTGAAATCTTTGTAACCCAATCTTCTATCATTTTGTAGAGAAGTACATCCCCACATGCTGGAGAAATACGTTTAAATTTAATTGAAATATCTGATTCTGATCTGACATGGAGAGATCCAATCGCAAGTCAAGTAATTAGTGACGATTCAAACTTGGTGAAAGGGTTGGAAGGGCCCGCACATCTGTCCTTCATGAGACCAGCACAGCATATGCAATTAGTTATGCCTGATGTAATCCGAAACAAGTGTACCGAGTTTGTGGAAAATTTCAGCAATGATGATTTAAATGGTTTATCACTAAAGTATAGACATAACAATACATGGAAGGAGTCGGAAGAAGATCTAGTAGGAATTGTAGAAGAGATCCTCAGAGCTTTGTATGTAATTTTTATCATAGAAACTACTTCATTATTTTTGTGCTAATTCTTTTTTCTCGTAGAGGTGATGTGTGGAAGAATCCAGCCTTTAGACCTAACTTTGTAAATATGCAGAGTGAAGGTACAGTCCCTTGAAAAAAGTATCGCTTCACCTGATGATCGACGAAAATAATTGGATAACTTCTGTGATATAAAAAGT